GGTGCGCGAGATGTGGACAAAGATGATCCGTCGATCTATGGTGATTCTTACTCTTGGCTCACATTTGAAACAGTTGGCAATCGATCAAAGAACTTCGGACACGGCCTAAGACAATTGATCGAACCGCGAGACTATCTAGCCATCTGTTCTCACAATCGACCTGAATGGATGATCACGGACTTCGCTTGTATGTTTCACGGCATCATCATTGTCCCAATATACCGTCTCTTTACCGAACGAGAAATCACTCATGTGATCAACAACACAAAAGTGTCGGTGGTGGTGTGTGATGGAAAAATCCTCGGACAATTTGTGAAGGTGACTGAGCAATGTCAAACCCTGCGCCACATCATTTCCATGGACCAGATCGAGAAGGTCATATCCAGTAAGTGTAACTCATTATCACGAGAAACGTCTCAGTGAACTGTTCTTGCTTATGTTTAGTCTCCTCAGAGAAGAGCAATGTGTCTATTCACGCGATGGGTGACGTCGAGAATCAAGGTATTCTCAAACAATATGATTCTGTAACTGTTGAACCCGACGATTGCTTGACCATCATTTACACTAGTGGTAGTTCTGGTTTTCCCAAAGGTGCGATGATATCTGAGAGCGCTTTTCGAGCCAACTTTCCACACTGGTGCGTCCCAACGGCGGACGAGTACGTTTTATTCTCGTATCGATCATTAGCATGGTCATCCGATCGCAAAGCGATCATAACTCTTTTTCTTTTGGGCGGTCGAACTGGCTTCTTCACCGGAGACAATGCTCGTCTGATGGAAGAACTAGCCATCGTTCGACCTACCTCTTTCGCAGGAACTCCAGCTATCTGGAACAAGATCTATACGGAGTTTAACACGAAACTCGCTCTGAGTACCGTTCGTCTCTCACCCGATGCTCTTCAAGCAGAAGAACAGCGACTTCTTCGAGACTTCTCCAAACTCATGCCCAACAGTTGGCGAGGAATTAGCATCGGTGGTGCGATGATCAGCCGCGCAGTGATAGAATTCATGAAACGATGCTTTACACATTGTATTGTGGATGAAGTCTGCGGTATTACTGAATGCGGTAGTGTTGCCTATGCTAACAGTATTGAAAAGACCGTCCAATATCGGCTGGAGTCTGTTCCTCATCTCGGCTATACAATCAATGATCAACCCTATCCACGAGGAGAACTT